TTTTGAGACAGGGTCTCACTTGTTGCCCAGGCTGTAGTGCAGTGGGCTCATTGCAACCTCTGCCTCCCAGGTTCAAGCAATTCTCCTGCCTCAGCTTCCCAAGTAGCTGGGATTACAGGTGCCTACCACCACACCTGGCTAACTTTTTGTATTTCTAGTGGAGACGGGTTTGACCGTGTTGACCAGGCTGGTCTTGAACCCCTGACCTCAAGTGACCTGCGCGCGTTGGCCTCCCAAAGTGCTAGGATTACAGGCATGAGCCACCACACCTGGCCTCCAGCCGATTTTTGACAGCCACACTGTTGCTGTAGTATCCTTTCTCCACCTGATGGCAATGGTCTCTCGTTCTCCTCATTCCCACAGAGATTGTTGAACCACAGCACCAGTAACACTGAGAATGCTAAGGACTCTAGCCCGGGCTTTCTCCCAGGTTCTCTAGTGTGTGCCCTCCTGGTGACAGTGAATCGAAGCTAATTGCTTTCATTGGTTGATTCTCTGATCTTGAGTGGCTGTGTCCACAATTCATTTTTTTTTTTTCTGGTAGGAATAACTCCTTTTCTGCACCCATACTCTATAGAATCTGTCCTTTTCAGATATCCTGGGATGAAAAGATTTGGCTCCTTTTTTTTTTTTTTCCTGAGACAGGGTCTGGCTGTGTTGCTCAGGCTGGAGTGCAGAAGCATGATCACGGCTCACTGCAACCCTGACCTCCCAGGCTCAGGTGATCCTTCCACCTCAGCCTCCCTAGTAGCTGGGACTAGGTGCATGCCACCGCACTCGGCTAATTTTTAGAAACGAGCTTTTGACATATTGGCCAGGCTGGTCTGGAACTCCTGGGCTCAAGCAGTCCTCCCACCTCAGCCTCCCAAAGTGCCGGGATTACAGGGGTGAACCACTCTGCCTGGCTTTCATTCTTCGGCTATTAAACAGTGAAGGTAGTTATTGATCTCATCTCTTTCATATTCTTCTAAGAACTGAGAGCGAGAGGGCTGTATTGAGTCTCTTCATGCACCAGGAACTGAGCTCTGAAGATGATCTTATTATTATCATTATTTTTTGAGAGAGCTTCTTACTTTGTTGCCCAGGCTGGAGTGCAGTGGTGCGATTGTGGCTCACTGCATCCTCTGCCTCGCGGGTCCAAGCGATTCTCCTGCCTCAGCCTCCTGAGTAGCTGAGATTACAGGCACCTGCCACCATGTCTGGCTAATTTTTGTATTTTTAATAGAGGTGGGGTTTCACCATGTTGCCCAGGCTGGCCTTGAACTCCTGACCTCAGATGATCCTCCTGCTTCAGCCTCCTAAAGTGCTAGGATTATATGTGTGAGCTACTGGGCCCAGCTGAAGATGGTATTATTAAATTGCTGTTCTGACAATCATAGATTAACACTGTTCCTTTCCTTTATTGTGAAAAAATTAAACTTGGCTGGGCATGGTGGCTCACACCTATAATCCCAGCAC